TGAAAAGGATAAACCTCCATAACAGTCTAATACAAGGGGGGGGGGGAATTGGAGGGAGAGATGAACCATGAGAGACTATGGGCTCTGAGAAACAAAAAGGGTTTTAGAGGGGATGGGGGTGGGAAGATGGGTTAGCCTGGTGATGGGTATTAAAGAGGGCACGTACTGCATGGAGCACTGGGTGTTATACAAAAACAATGAATCATGGAACATTACATCAAAAACTAATGATATATTGTATGGTGACTAACATAATAAAATTAAATTAAATTAAAAAAAAAGAAAACACTGTACTCTGCACCAAAGACATTCGACTGCTGACCTTGCTGAATTCTTATACCTCATTCATTTAAGAAGAGAGTCTGTGATTGGTAAGTATCATATGATCTCACTGATATGAGGAATTTGAGAAATAAGACAGAGGATCATAGGGGAAGGGAGGGGAAAAAATGAAACAAGACGAAACCAGAGAGGGAGACAAACCATAAGAGACTCTTAATCTCAGGAAACAATTGAAGGTTGCTAGAATGGAGGGGGTGGGGGGATGGGGTAACTGGGTGATGAACACTGGGGAGGGTATGTGTTATAATGAGCACTGGGTATTATATAAGACTGATGAATCACAGACCGGTACCCCTGAAATAAATAATATATTATATATTAATAAAAATTTTTTTAAAAAAAGAAGAGAGTCTGACCAATATTTCCTATCAACCACATATATAGGACACTATTCACTTCACTAATGAAAAATCATTTCTAATATTGCTTATACAAATTAACAAAGTCTTCATGTATATATTTGGATAAAGATATGTGGGCACTAAGCATTCAAATTCTCTAATGCTGATTTCTGACAAAGATCGTTTTTACAAATGCTAGCCAATTATTGCTTTGGTTTAAATTGGAGTTAATTTGTATACACATACATATATGTTACAATATTAATATTTGAGTTTTAAAAATAAATGTCCATTATATTGGTAATGTAAAACCTTACCATATTAAACAACATAGCCAAAGGAATTTATATGTATTTACAGTAATTAAGCACCATTATTATATTTTTCAATTAATGGAACATCCCATTGATATCTATGAGCTCCAAAGAGTTATATCAGGATGTTTGCAAGCATAGTAAATAAAGACTCCATACTGAATTTTAGTTCTTCTTTTTGTACATTTTTTAAAAAATCCTCTCTCATTCTCAATTTTACTATATTATTCTTGATGTTCCACCCTCCAGTCTGCTACTTGAGAAACCTCATATTTGATCTAATTAAAATTATGTACAGGGTCACCCGAATGGCTCAGTTGGTGAAGCGTCTGCCTTCGGCTTGGGTCATGACCTCGGGGTCCTGGGATCAAGCCCTGTGTCGGGCTCCCTGCTCAGTGGGAAGTCTCCTTCTCCCTCTCACTCTGCCCCTCCCCGCTATTACTCTCTCTCTCAAATAAATAAAATATTTTTAAAAAATGTTTAAAATTATGTACAAACTAAGACCAAGCCAGCTCTGTATTAGGGCCTAAAGTTTTCTCGGGAAGTAAAGCACACAGACTTTCTAGAATGATCTTTGAAACACCTAGCTTGGATGTTCAAAAACTGCCCCTCAGTTTTATTATAGTTCCTTCAAGTTGCTGAATCAGTTATTTTCAAAACAACGTGAAAAATAAGTTATACCAGATTTTATCAACCTTAATGTTTTCGTATTTTCTACAGTTATGTTTGGCTTCAAAAGTGAATTCAACAATATTCCAAGCTTGGTAAAATTAATATTGTATTAGAAAAAACAATTACATCAACTTTAATGCATTAGGGAAAAATGTATGTGTGGTCAAGATGTTGGTCAGATTGAGACAATTAATTTGCGTATTTTTTATTCTCAATGTAATACCATCCTGCGTGTGCCTTAGGATCATATTAAAAATGCTGCTGGGCTTCACGGGGGTCTAGACAACACTCTTAATAACTAAAAACATTTGAAAATGACCTGAAATAGAACTATTAAAAATTCCCAGCTGTGCCGCGAGTAATAGGATTATTGTTCAAAAACTAGATAATCTTGGGGGAGATATAACCATAAAAGTACAATATCCTACAGTTGGGGAAAAAACTTTTAAGGCCTTTCAAAACTTCTCCTTAGTGAAGTAACTTCATTTTTAATGCTCCTGTTGTTAAAACAGTCCCCACGATAATGCTTTTAGTAATTTAAACAACAACTCCTGTCCTAAGATACAATTCATTCTATTTTTAAACAGGTCAAACTAGGTTTTTTGTGTTTTTTTTTTAAATATGGTATGAATTAGAATGTCCCTAGTTCTAAATGTTTTATAGAGCAGGGATGGTTTATTTATATAAACCATTTTCCATATAGTAGGTCTTCAAGCACATGCAGATCATCTGTGTGTCTCTCTGCACCCTTCACCCCTACCCAGTTCTCCCTCCACTTCCACTCTCGCGTTTTTATCTTCATAATCATTAGGACAGGTTCTCGGCAGATGCTCCACTGTTCCTGTGGCCTCATCAGTATGCATATTAGTTTCTCTACATTTACACATGGCGCCCAGGCAGATTTTAAAGCCAAGCCATTTATGTTAGAACTATAATTTGGACAGATTTTTTTTTTTAATTTGCCTTTGTTCCCTTGAAATGATCTACTTCTTTCCTATGGTCTCCCACATCCTTTCTTTGTCACGCTTCTTTTTATCGTTTCACGTTGTCCAGTCCATTCGCAAGATGGCATCTCATCGATTGGGCTACATAAGTCAGCAAGGGTTGCTGATTCCTTCAAACCTTCCTGAGAGGTCTGGAGTTTCACCCC